GTAAACTGATATATATATATATGTGTGTGTGTGTGTACGGCACATATACATATATACACATGGATATATATATATATATATCTAGCTAGCTAGCTCTCTCTCTCTCTCTATATATATATGTGCACCTCTGTATGCACATATTGCAAGTGCTTGGGGTTGTTTGTTGTCGAGTTACTTCAAAGACGCGGCCAAAAGACCCAAGACTGAGGTCGGATCACGAATCGCCTCTCGCGAGACTTCGCGGACCAGGTTGCCACTGCGTGAGGAGGGCTGTTCAATGCTAGCGAAGGGTGAGGGACCCGGCACAGGTGCTGGAATCGTTGTTGGACCGTTGCTTTTCTTTCCGCGAGACAAACAAGGTTCGCAGCTGTACAGCAGACTGGATCTAGAAGAAGCCATGGATGTTGGGGTTGCCTTTGCTGGAAGAGGCTTGGCATGGTGGCTGCCTGGCCTTGGCCTGGGTCTGAGACGACTCCCAAGCGCGAGCGAGAGCGAGTGCGAGCGTCGTTGGTTGGGGAGAAGAGCCGAGGCCGAGCTGACGCGGCGAGGTCTGCTTTTGCCCGAGCGCCTGCCTACGGTGATCCCTTTGATCTGCCAGGCGACGGGCCTTTTTAGCTCCTAAGGTGTCGTGCTCAAACAAAGGACCTTGGGGGCTCTGGAAGGCGCTCCACTTCGAGCAGGTGTCTGGCAACCATGCGGTTGGTTGGGGCCTGAGACTGTTTCAAAACTTCATGAGTCCATGTAAGGAAGTGCGAACGTCGGAGTTGCAGGGTCGTATATACGGGTGCCAGCTGAGGTCAGCATGTGCGGGATGCTGCGTGTTATGCCTGCGTCACAGTGATCTCTCATCGGTTCATGCCAGAGTTTTGTGGCAGTGCTGGTCTGTTGACTCATGTAAAGCGTCACCACAGGTGTGTTGGGCCTTCGCTCGCGCCTACGCACCAGATGTACTGCAACCATACGTAGAAGACCTGGCGAAAGCTCTGATCCAGGCACCTTTGGCTGTGCAGTTCAAGCCCACGCAGGGTCCTGTATAGGGTTTGTCATTTAGGGTTTAGGGTAAAGGGCTGGGAGTTAGGAGTTGAGGAGTTCGGCCGAAAGCGCCCTGCCTTGAGGTCTGCTGCAGATCGGAAGCCGTCCTGATATTGCATCAGATTCAGCGAACATGTGTTGCTTGACAGGTAGCGGTTTACGACCGCGAAATCAACTGCCGGTGGCTGCCTTGCCTCCAACGACGAGCACCGCTAGTGCGTGTGAGTCGGTTGATGTACCAAAGGCGCGCTGCAGCTGCTGCCGTGCAGGAGCTTGACCGTGCTGCTTTAGTCTTGCAGTTTTAGAAGGATGGCATCCAGATGTCTGACTGGCACCTTCTTCCCCAAGACGAGGAGAATGTCGGCCGACAGGGCACATTTCCAGACGGCATTGAAGTTGCCACTCGGCCCCAGCTCAGATGCCCTCCTCTTTTTGAGAGTGTGAGGAGGGGCTGGGTCAGCATCACACATCGCTTTGGCAGGTCACCATCGCCGACTACTGGACCTTGTCTGGCCGGCGGCACGCGCACCTCGACGATGGCCTTGAATTTGAGGATTCAACCCCCAGTTCAGATGCGCAGGATGATATGGCAAACAAAGCACATGCTGCTTGCACCTACTTCCACGAATAAACGCTCCTTCACTTCTGTGAGGTTGCTGTGATACTTGCTATCACTCGTTCTCAAGTCAGGATTCGGCATTTGCTCTTCTGATTCTGCCTTTGTGCAGCGATATTTCGTTGGTGTTTAGATGTGTTTAGCGAGTGTGCACGTTCGAACCTGCGGTACTTACTGCATCGGCCTGCCCAGGTATCTCGAGGTCGCGCCAAAGATCGCCGGCCTCGGGAACGGCGGATACAGGCTGTGCCCTTTTCTTCCCAGCTTGCGCTCAGAAGCAACCCGGGAAGGAAAGCCCTGATCGAGCACCTGGTGAGCCGAAAGCTGGCACACCAGGCCCACAAACAAGCAGAGCGGAGAGCGGAGGGACGGAGAGAGGCCCCGTCTCGTCCATTCCTGTTTGGCTTTGCGACCCCTCGTTTCTTTGTGCCCTGCGGCCACTGAGCTCGTCACGATCGTCTGCTCTGGTCGCTGCCCCGTCACTCCATCCTTCGAATCAGAGGCCTTCTTTCCCGGGCACCATCTCCTCCGCAGTGAGTTCCGTCGGTTCAGCGGGAAGCCCGTGCTTTTGCCCCATGTTGCGATCGCTTCGCCTGCTGTGCCTTTGACGCTTCAGAGCCGAGGGCGGCCTGCTCGCTCTGTGAGTCCTTTCGTACATGTTCGCCAGGAAGTCATGGCATATCATGGCATGTCGGGGCACTTCCGAAAGCGTCCAGACGAATGCTACATGAAAGCTTCCAAGCAGAAGCGAAGCGACTCTCTCGGCGCTCCTTTGCTGAGTGAGGACCTTCAGATCCGGATGCTGGGCGCCAAGGGCCTGGCGTGCTTGGCCTGCAGTGAGCCCGGGCCCTGAATGGGCCCTGCCTGCGTCCTATCTTGTTTCAGCAACAGCTCTCGAAAGAAAGCCGCTCAGGCCTGAAATTCTGGGCTTCCTGAACACAGCCGAGAGCCCACAGCGACAGACCAACGAGGGACTCGGCCGGAGCCCTCAGCTCAGCTCAGGTGGTGATCCCCAGCCTTGTGGAGCGCTCCACAGCAGACTCCGCAGCAGGCCCGAGACCCGGAGCCGCGCGCCGGGGGGCGGTCAGTGCCAGCGCTTGCAACTCCCTCCAACTTCAAATGCCTTCTCGGACTCGGCAAGGAAGAGACGGCTCTGGGCTGCTGTTGATAGCGCAGCTTTCTCGGCTCCAGTCCAGACAGCCCTCCGGCACACCTTATGGACACGGCTCCCCCGCACCGCGATAGATCATGATAGATCTAGAGGTCGCTCTGGTCGGCATGAGTTGACCAACCCTGTCTGGTGACGCAGATCCCTGACCCATCATCCACCTTTCCACTTCATTCGGTGGTACTTGTCTGGGCGCAGCAGAAACGGCCTTCCAAGTAGGGTGCTCTGCTTGCGGTTTCGCCGTGCCGGCTGCCCCGGCTGCGGAGAGGCGTTTCTGGGACTTAGCGTGGGTTATGCAGGCAGTCACCGGCAGAAGGGGTTGTGATTGCCGCTGCCTGTCAGAGAACCGATGAGCTGAGCCTGTGGCATCCTGTCATTGTCCGAGGGTGCATGACGTGGCCGCCCAATGACGCGGAGCCACAGGACCGGGCTATCCTCTGCTACAGGTACTGCTACGATTTCACGATGCTTGGCGCTTAGATCTGCTGTTAGATGGCCGCTCTGGTCCAGCCCGTGTCGTGTGAGCTGCAGGAGCAAGAGGAGTCGACGGCAATTCGGCGACAGTGGCTCGGTACGATTGATTGGACAGTGTGCCAGTCGCTTGCAGCACATATCACATATTTCCAGATTCCTAATTCCTGCCATCTGCTTTCGCTGGGGTGTGTGTGCCTCAAGAAGCTTGAAGTGGATCAGTCCAGGAATCTCCATCACGGCTGCCCCTCACCAAAGCGGCCACGCACTGCCCCTCCATCGAGGCGGCCGTCACGGTCGTGTCATGTTCCCAGAGTTACCATCACTTACACTGGGGAAGTGGAATGCCTTAGAACTCGGAACACTGCTGAAAGGACTCGGGCTCGGGGCACAGCGGATGCGTACAGATTCCGTTGCAAGGCTAGTGCGGCTAGTGAATGTCAGGGCATTGGTACTGGACGGCTGCCGCTGAACTTTGTTGCTTGGGGTTCAGGGCTGGCTCCCCGACAATTCGAAGGCAACTTCATGTTGCCCTGTTCCCTGCACCTGGAACCTCGACCCACGGCCACCCGAATCCCAGCATCAGGAGTCCGACACCCGAACGGCGACAGCAGGCCCTGTTTGCAAACACTGTTTTCATGTTCAAGCCTCGGTCCACTTTCTCGAGTACCACATCCAAGCGGAAAGTCTGAAGCTTCATTGCATGCCTTGGGATTTCAATCCCAAAGGGCTACCGGGTCTCCGACGTGGTGGAGCTGCGGGAGACGACGTCTTGCTTGCAGAGTGACACCCTCGCCGACGCCTGTAAGAAGCTCTGCCAATCCGGGCGTACCGCAGTGGTGGTGCTCACCAGCACGCAGCCAGACATAAAGTTTGGAGGGGCCCCTCTTTTTGCTTTCCGTGCGCCTTTGTCTTCCTTGCAACGCACTTCCGAGCCTCCCCGTTATCCTTGAATTGCATGTCCCGGTTTGCGACGGTGTACTAGCTTCTCGTGATATTTGGCTGCTCACATTAATCCCGGGAAACATTGTGTACCCTTTTTTGTTGAGGGGTATTTCCATCCTTTAGCAGGATGCCGGCTCGACAGGATCTGCCCGGCTCCGTTTCTGCGCTCCAGCCGACACAGCCCAGGAGCGGTGAAATCCATGGAGTGCTTACAGAAAACGACATCCTACAAGCGAGCCATGGCAAGAATAGGAGCTTTCCCAGTGTGGTGATCTGTGGTTCAGAAGCAAAGATCTTGCAGCCGTTAACACATAGGTCTTGCAGCCCCTAGATTGCGTTTGCATGAGCGACGGCAACCGTGCTTTCAAGGATCGTCGAAGGTGTTGAGTGGGAGCAACCTCTCGAAAGATGGTGCGCCTCTCGAAAACAACGTGAAATTGTGTGCTCTTTACGGGCAGGGTTGGTGGCCCCGTGCAGGCTAAAGGACGGACCAGCCCGGCTTCCCGGGTTCTTGGTACCTCCCATGACGCTGCAAGCCGAGACTCCTCTCGTGGAGGCGGGTAAGAATCACGGGCACAGGCACAAGAGCCAGAAAGCGGATTTCAGCGAGGCCGCCAAGCTGATGTCGGAGCAGTCCGGCAGCAAGTTCTCCTGCCACCATTTGCTGGTCCAGGTCCCTGGTGGCCACTGGGCAAGAACAGCTGTAAGTCTGTAAGTGCGATGTTTTTGCAACGGCTTCCCATTAACCAAATATAGAGGCCAGTTGGATGCCTCTGGACGGCCTTTGAAAGCCCGGCTCCTTTCCGCCCTTGACATTGCCAATGGCATGCTCGAGGCGGAATGTTGGGGATTTCGCTGCAGCATTTGTCGCAAACTGCTACACCATATTATTTAAAATATCTCCCGGACCTTATCAGATGTCCAGAGTTGCCTGCACCGAGCCTAGCCTGTGAGAGGCTTCGAAATCATCAGTGGCAGCAGAGAAAGCTTTGGCTCTTTCCGTCAAGCACCACGGCGAGGGTTTGTGTTCCTGTTGGGGCAGCAGGGTTCAGAGCAGATGAGGCACATCATGAAGCCGCGGACATCTGTACCTACATGCACTTCCACGCAGAATTTGTCGGAGGCAGGCTTGGTTCACTCAGAAAGGCACTGGTGTCTCCCGGTCTTATTTTCGGCCGGTTGACGATCTGAAGCACGCGCCAGCTGGAAACTGCCACCCGGACTCTTCGCTTTGGGCAGGCATTTCGCCTCCTGTCTGGATCGCAGCAGAACTGCGTCCTGGTGAACGACGAGAAGAATGCGGACGATGAGGCTGGCATCCGGCTTCTGAGCGGGAGGCTTCACGCAGGGTGGGCCGTTAGCAACTCCGAGCAGCCCCATCGTCTTCGGCATTGGCAAAAGTCAACTTTGTTCGAAGAGAGCCCAGCAATCTGAGGCTGGCCAGGCAGAGCAGCCAGACGAAGACTCCACGAAGGGTGCTCCTCGATCTACCTATCAGTGGTGTGCAGAAGGTAGTCGAGCACCATTGGGCACCATGCTAAGCTGTAGAGTTTTTCCAGGTAGTTACACCTGTGGATGCATTGCTGGCTTTCTCGGAGAAGATCTCTGGAGAGAGTCGGACACTGATGCATTGGGTACTGCAGGGTTTTTGCATACGCTCGATCGTGGCAGGGACAGCGAGTGTGCAAGCAGTTGCGGTACAGCAGCTTGTAGCTCTTGGGCTAAGACGGCTAAAACACACGCTTAGATTTGAAGGCTTAGCGGGTTCCAAAGAAGCAGTCGGTAGGCGCATGACACAATTCTAAAGCTCGCGAGGATACTTCGAGACTGGGTTCGCGGGGTCAATGGCATGCCGGCAACGTCGGAACGCTTTGCTTCTCGGCAAACTGTCCGATAGAGCCACCGTGGGGTTGCTGAATAGTCGTCCAAGTTTTTCCATCTCGTACCAGACGCATCCTGTAAGCATGTCTTTAATCTTGGCTGTCCGTATCCTTCGTCATTGTTGTCCACTTGTATCGCGGCATTCCCGGTGTTACACTCCAAACGCTCACGAATGAGGGTCCAAATGTCGAGGTTGAAGAATCCACGCCCTTGGCATCTGCAGCCTCGACGATGGCCTTCTCGGGACAGCACCACCTACTCGTGGCGGCTCGGCTACGTAAGATACAACCCTGGGCCGGCTTTCTAGCTTTGTGTCGGGCTTCCCGATCGTCGATTCTGTCATTCAGCGAGTTCTTTCAGTGATTCGGCCTGAGCGCTCGCAACGTTCAGCTTCCGATCGTGGACTCAATCTGTTGTTCTGGTCCTTTGCGGTTTGTGGATCCAAGGTGCAGGCCCAAAGCTCTCGCGTCCTTGGCGTTGTATCCGCGCTGGACATCGTGCGTGCGCTGAGCAGCCGGGCGACAAAAAGGGGGCGGGTGTCGCCAATTACTGAACTTTTCAGTCCCGTCGGAGGAATACCAGGGTTTCTGAGCATGAGTTCTGGGTCTTGGCTTGAAATGCTTTGGGCCGTCGGCAAGGACTAGACTTGGCGTTTGCAGTGCATGAACCGGCACTAAGGTCGCTTGTTTCACGTGAGTGAGGCGTAAGTTGTTTCTCGTGCCGGCTGCGGCCCAGCAAATGACCCAGGCCGAGGCGATGTCCCTGGTCGCAATGTGCCATAAGACGAGAGCAACACCAATAGCCAAAGCTTCACATTCCTCTTGTTTCTCTGCCTGGGACTTCCCGACATGGCCACACGTGCTTCCTGCACCGTTCGGTTCCCGAGAGGAAAATCCGTCTTGCACGTGCGAACTCAGACTTTGATCAGAACTGCTCTACGAGAGTTCCGACCAGGTGCAGCGGCTGCGCCTGGTGCGGGTTCGGTGCAGAGAATACACGGGCTCAGGGCTTTCAGTGCTTTGCCCTCCGTGTTTTCAATGTGGGTAGTGCCATCCTGAATAGCCAGACGTCGCCATTGCAGCCTGCTAACATTGTGCATTTCCTTGAACTTCACTGCCTGCAGCTCCAGAGAGGTCCAACCGCCGGCACGGTTCAGGCCAAGACGGACCGGATTTCTGCTTCGTATGTAATGTAACCAAATTATATATAACTAGTATACCGGTCTCCCGGCACCATTGAAGCCCTGCAGTCAGAATGCCTGGGAGGCACGGCACGGTGCCGTTGAAGCCGTGGCTTCGCTGGTTGAGGTTCTGCAGGCTCGGCCGGCTGCATGTTGCGGGTTCAATGCCAATGCAGACGTCTTTGCAATGTTTCTGGGATCGGTGGAGGCGGGATCACGCCACCATAGGACTAGGCAAGTAAGAAAAGAGAGCTTCTGATGTAGGGTTCGACATGTCAGCTGCTCAGCTGATTCCGTGGCTTGGTGCGGTTTTGCTGCCATCTGCTTGTGGCGGAGGATAAAGTCACATCCGAGAACCAGACAGCCATTCGAAATTTAGTCTCGGACTTACTCTCTCAAGTCTTGAGCCCCGTCGCTCCACTGAAGAGCTCTAAATGCAGAGGTTCTTTGCATGGCATGGCGCTTTTTATGCACTGGCATCGCGTGAGGTCCCCGCCCTGGAGAAAGCACGCGCCTACCGGGGTCGCGGAGGTGAGGTCGTCCGCCAGGCCAGTCGCGGGATTGCCGGAGTGGATCCGAGGGGTTGATTGATGCTGGAAACTTTGGAAGGCACCCATCAGCCTCTCTCTGTGCAGTTATCGCAGATGTTAAGCGGGAGGCCGCTTGTCGATTGCTGCAGAAGATTGCGGCAACCCCTTGGCCGTTCAAAGATGCCACGGCGGCAGGGCCCCTAGCAACAACGGTACAAGTAGGGTGCCACTCAATTGCAGCCTCGTGTGATGACTTGCCAGGTACGGTATCTTCAAACCGTGGACGAGTCACGGGCTGAACCCGAAGTGATGAGAGATAGGGCACATGTGCTGCACTTCGGGATATGCTACCGCGCTAGCACGGAGTGCACGACGCCGGGAAAGGCATCAGCACAAGCTCAGAAACTGGAAAGAGTAGGGTTGTGCATGTCCAAGAGAAGCCTTTATCTCCTGTGGCCTGGTCGATTCAACCACTGCCCAGGTGCGCACGCCACACGACCGAGGCTGGCAACGCCCCAACAGCTTTCTTACACGCTGACTTGGCGGCCTGGTCCGTGAACTTCCCTTGTGATGGTTCCCCACGACAGATCCTTCTTGTGGACTCGCAGGCTATCCGGGTTGTGGCCGCCGAAGCTTTGGGCGTCCTGGCAGCGACGAGGCAGGGGTCTCCACCCTTCTGGCAGCATGTGATCGATGAGGCTGATTATCACAGCCAGGTTCAAACCGGAACTTTGCACCAAATGCGTTCCGGTCTCAGAACAGTGGCATGTGCTCAAGAGAGATCGGCAAGTCAGAATCGAACGCGGTCCACGTCTGCGACTCGTCCTTGCTAGTGGTGGTGATAGTAGTAGTAGTAGTAGTAGTAGTGGTGGTGGTGGTGGTGGTGGTGGTGGTAGCAGCAGCAGTAGTCGTAGCCGTAGCCGTAGCAGTAGCAGTAGCAGTAGCAGTAGCAATAGCAGTAGCAGTAGCAGTAGTAGTAGGAGTAGTAGGAGTAGTAGTAGTAGTAGTAGTAGAAGCAGCAGTAGCAGTAGCACTAGCA